TTTTTTCGTTTTCTTGCTTTTGGTCTTTTTTACCCCGTTGACTAGCTTTACGGTCGGCTTTGTCGATTGCAGATCTTGACATCGCTAACATCGGTAGCACAAGTTCCCGTATCATGTAAAATCAGAGTTCTAGATGACGTGAGTTATTGGTTCTTTAGTACTTCTTTGGCATCTTTCCAAGAACTTGACGTATGTTGGTCATTTTATAGCCCTCAGAAACGCTCAATCTTGTACGAGAAATCGAAAAGTGCGGTGTGGCTGCACTTGCTGTACATGGTAGGCGACGAGATGAACGAGATCCTCATCCATGTCGTATCGATGAGATTCGTGAAGTGGCTAGAACTGTCAGCATACCAGTGATAGCGAAGTAAGAAAGTTTTTGTAGTCAGCTTCCATGAGTTCTGTTAATTTTTGAATTATTTTCCACCCTGTCTCTACACTCAAATATCATTTTTTTCAAAATTTGCTATGATAGCAGTTTATGTGCATTTTATATTTCAGCCCTAACAGTATTTGTGTTCATATTTGCAGCGGTGGTTCTGGCGAAATAAAATCGTATGAGGACATACTTGATTTTCGGAAACAGACTGAAACATCTTCTGTTATGGTTGCTCGCCAGGCACTTTCATGTCCTTCAGTATTTCGACGTGATGGAACTCTGTCTTTTGACAGAGACATAGAGAACTTTTTGGATTTGGTAAACAATGTATTTGGGTTTTGTTCCCTGCATATCCTGACTGTTTAGGCTTGCGAATTTGATGAAAATTATACGATGACAAAATATGTCGTGCAACGGATACTCGGCGGTAAACAGGTATATAAGATGATTTGCTTATCTGGGCACCTCTGATTCGTAAGCGTTTCAGGAATCTGACGAAAGAGGGCGGCAAACAGTATTAGCTGGCAGTAATCTGGAGATCTGCCGAGCTTGGGGAAAAGAAGATAAATACGAGGAATGCCGAAGAACACGATTACGAAAGCAATGCAAACGATCTAACTCAGAATTAATCTCTGAATACGAGTACCACGATGTGTCATTTCCTTTGTGAGTACTGCACTCAAAGGCAGTGGACAGGCAGAATGGACCACTGTCGGACTTTGGTGGAGTTAGGAAGTAGACCCCCAACTACACCGTAGCCCAAAAACCCCGCCTGCTAATTCATGCGCTAAGTCCTGAAAAATGCGCTTCA